CACATTTTATTCGTCTAAAATTTATAAGATGTATCAGAATTGTCGTCAGGATTGGTCTTATGCTAAAATCACTACATTATTTAAAGCTTATTCGGTATATTAATTATCCTTTCAGTGGTGGCCCCTTTTTGCTCTTTACTCTTCAACAGTCTTTATTTGTAAATAAAAAAGCTTTGTAATTGTCATCGTTGATACTTTTCCATCAAGAGGTAAAATATCGAAAAAATTTGTCAAATTCTAAAATATATCATCATGATATACTGATATATGCAATGATACTTTGTGTATTTGATCTTTTTCATTTCTCATTAGTTTAATACTTCTATAGTATAAGACTCGACATATTCCTGACTATTATAAGGCTGTTTGTATATCTGCCTGTTTTTCCGCTCATCAATATTTGGAATTATAAAATTCGAGTCTAATTAAATAAAATTTTTAATCGGGATGAAACAATAGAACATTTCCAAGTATTTCAAATATTTCTTATAACGCATTGCTTATAAAAATTGTTTATTTTCATTGCAAACTGTCATCAAGAGTGATTTGGAAAAATCGATTCGAATCTTAACTTGATCCAAGAAATTAGTCATCATTTTTATTTGCGATAATTATATGAGTGTCTAAACCGTTGTATGGAAAACTCTAGCTTCTGTAAATAAATTGAATTATAGTTGTTTACCTTCTTGAATTTCCATAGGCGATATATGTATTTTTTTAGCTGTTAATTCCTGCATATTTTTTGAAAAGTTTGAGTTCTGTATAGTTTTTCAGGGAACTTTAGAACTGAACAATGTGCAGCTTGGCTGAACTTAGAAATATACCACTGCAATGATTGGCATATTCGAATTTCAACATCGCGATCTCGCTTTGGTATTGTCTTGACTATCGGTCATTTTTTGGCGGAGTAAGACGTATTTCAATTGTTTCCACAAATTAACGATTCTAATTGTTCGTACATCGTTCAGCATTATTTATGAAAAACATTGTCACAATCATGCTATTTTTCGGGTAAGATCAATTCCAGTCCGTTGATTTAATCTGGACGGGTTTCTCACTTTTTGAAAATATTTATCTTTTGGATATTCTCCTGTTTGCTGCGTGTACCAAAACAAACAGTTATCCATATATTAGTACGCAAATCATATCGTGAAATTAAATCGAGCCATTTATTATCCTAGTGTTGACCTCTCTCTCTGCACGGGTTTTGTAGGAGCCACGCAAGCTCTCATATATGAGAGGATGGATTGGTTCAAGCGAATTCATGATTAGGGTGAATGGAAATAGAATTCTAAATATTTTAAATGAAATGTCCCAAAGTAACTTGTTTTTCGCTTTTGATGCCCATATTTTGCGGTGTTCTCAGTAAATGGTAAGTTCAATTAAACGATATTTTTTACAAAATTTAGCTTCGATATGGTTGAAGGTTCTATAGGTAAAGAAGCACTTTCTGGCTTTACCTTCCTCAGGAAACTATGCAGACTTATATTTTGAACCAGAAAATATAGTTCAGCTTTACATTCCCCCTTCAAATTCCTTCGGGAATTTTGTCTTTGCAGAAACCATTGGTCAGCCTCAGTGATTGTAATCATGAGAACGACAAGCCAGTAGAATTTATGCAAACACATCTACCGTCCGTGGGAACTTTACTCTTACGTTGGAAGACCAGATAATTTAAAGTCTTCGACAGTTTCATCTTCACATATCAAAGAATTGTTTCGTGACCGATGAAAAATATACATGTTACATCTTCCAGAACATTTTACTGGTAATATGATGGAGTGAAATCCAAAAATTTAGTAAAACTTCGCTCTTCTTAGCCGTGACATCCAAATAGAGCGTTCTTACAATCAATTCGAAAATGCAGTTCTTGACTAATTTGCCATGCATCGAAGTTTTTTAACCAAAATTCGAAAATTCACTTGCATTTTCTCACCTCTTCTCTTGACGTTTACATCTGCACAAAAAGTTTTGATATTTGAAAGTTTTCCACCCAAATTTTGTGTCATTTGGAACTTGCATTGATGTCCCTACTAATCCCACCTATGTCGTATTCTCTAGTTTTAGGTGACTCTATTCATGATACAGTACCAATATTTTTGATCACTCAATATCCACATTACATGCCTACGCGTAATTTGATAAGGAGTCGTATTTCAATGATTTCTACGAGGATTAAGAACTATGATCGAAATCTTAATTTGGATCTTAAATTCCTTGCATCCATTTATCATTATTTTCAACGAATTTGCTGCATAAACAATATTTTTTGTTGAAGGATGTGAAAACCACTTTTTACTGATAGCAGAAAATTTTCATTCCATAGATTTTACAACAAAGTAAACAAATTATTCCTTCAACAATCGAAATGCTCACAGAGTTAATTTTCGACACAGTCAGAAATGAGTGAAAGAGCAAATAGAAACTAGCTAGTTGCAAATTGAAAGTTCATCCATATAAAAGACCAGTCAATGACAGCGGTATCACTTCACCGTTGGGTTGTGGGTCGGCTCCATGACGAAATCCTGAAGGTTCATGATTACTGAATCCGGCTCCACTTTTAAAAGAAAAAGGTAAACTTTATGCTACCATCATCTTAAGATAAAAATTTATGCTAGTGAAATTTGACATGAATTCAAATGCAATATTAGTCATATTTTATACATGAAACGTAAACGCTATCCCAGTTTCTCTTAGCGTATTATAAGGATTATCCGAGACTGTCCATGTGAACTTCATCTTCTAAGCTGCTTAGATAAAATTCCCTAGAAAACAAAATTTAACAAATTCACCTAAGTATACAATGAAAGGAACACTTCCCCACTGCACAAAGATCCGGAAAATGTTGGCCGTCTGTCGTACCAAGTTCTGTTGTGTTGATGATAACTTCATTGTTTCCAGTTCTAGTATTACTTTCACCTATAACTTAGCTGTCTGTTTCTGTAATAAATGATTATCCACTAATGATTTAAAACGCGTGGTCAAAATGCTACTAACATAAATACTACAGCACCAGTCGTTATCGATCATGTAAATTATATCATTTAATACAGTACATCATTAGGATACGAAGTAACGAATGTGAAATTCATTCATACACTAACCATATACACCGTTCAATTTAGATTATCAATTATTCAGTCCAAAATATTTTATCCAAACAATACCGCACAAGTTTTTTCAATCTGTCAATGTACTTTGATATCAATCTCGCATTCTGTGATCTCATATGCAGGTTAGACTTTGCAAAAGTTATCTAATGAGATTTGAACTTCTCACTTCACTTTCCATTAACCTTATATCAGATAATTATTCGAGGAAAATGATTCTGGAGCGGAAAATAACTTGTGCAAATGAGAACTGCGCAGAGATCAAAATATTTGTTAGACAGTCACACAAGTACAAATTAGGGGATAAAAAGTTGAAGCTTCAAGGAAAAGAAAGGACAGCATCGAATACTACAAGAACAATCGATATTATGAGCAATTATTTTTATTCGAAAAGGATTTCTGTCTAAATGGTATTTTTGCAAGAAAATGTTGCAATCTTTGTCATAACAGATATCTCACAAAAGTAATTTATAGTGACTTGTCGTGTAAGAGAGGGAAAAGAATTGAAGTCGTGAACAATATCTAGCAGGAAATCTTTTTTTCTCACACATAAATCGTAATACAGGAAACTGCAGCAATTTCTATTCCAGACGTCCTTAATGCTTCCTTTCAAAAATATCATAGTTCTTCAATTTTTTCATCTACTAAACGAGGCTTCACATTCTCACTCAAATCCTTCAACATTTTCGAAGATACTGTTCTGACTATAATAGCTTTCCGAAAATCGTATAAATCTAAGAAATAACGGGTTTGTTCCAATTGCAACCTCCCACTCATTTTACGCGCGATAAGGAAGCAGCTATGGTCTTTTAATAATGAAGATATCATATAAATTATATCAAGCGCAGCATGAAGCAAGGAAATTAGTACGAAATTTTCAAATATAAATTTCGAAATCAAGTCTTGCAATGGTGTAAAAAGTCTGCATGCCTTTTTTACGAGCCCAACCACCATTTTCAAATTTGCCTTCCCCTTGTAATTTCATCATTTCTTCACTGGAAACTGGACCAATAATTTTCGCATCCTCGTCATTTGATAATTTATATTCCCATACCACAGCATTACTAGTGGACCTTGCAGTTTCGCTAGTTTGCTTGCTCTTTCCTACAAAATGAAAATAAAAATAGGTTTCTGACAATTGCTCAATAAATTTGTCTTTTCCTTTTGGCCTTAAAGAATAACCAACTATTCTAATCTTAGGTACGGGACAATCTAAGTTACGTATCAAACATAACTATTGCATAACTGTCCTCTATTAAGATACTCATGATACCAGTAATAGACCTCATTTACATTTTCCCTTCAATAAAGTGGCCTAATACTCAAGTTTTCAAGGAAACTAAAAGTTTACGAATCAGAACTACATAAAGGATGGAATTTTCGATTTCCCTTCTTTATTTTAACGACTACCAAAATCTTTCAGCCACAATAAAATATGTTTTCTAGTGCTGTTGTCTAAATTTATTTAGAAAATAAACAGCATAAACGTTTTATTTTAGACAAAGTTAAGTAGCGTTTTTAACTTCGATGAAGTGAGAAGGTAAACAGCCTAAAAGGTTTTACTGACAAAAGAAACCTCTGGCAGAGCAGGTGGGTGTTTCATCCGAAAACATATCCAAGATATCGGCGGCTTTACTTTTCAATTCCTGAATCATATACTGAACCTTCTCAAGCGTATATTGATAAGCTTCCATTTCACCATTTGATACTAAAGTATCAGTTAGACCCGTTAACTCTTTCACTGCAAAGTTCTTTTCGTTAACGTATTCCTTACCAGCTTTCTTTGCTGCCCATCTCTTCCTTCGCTCTTCTGCCGCGCTTAAACCTAAACAAAACTATTATTAACTAAATAGGGATATCTGGAAGTACACAACAAAGATTACGGAAGATTTCGGTCATAAACCTTAAGCATTCAATGATACAGTAATTTGCATAAAACTTTGTACTAGAATCTGGAAGAAAAAACTCTTTTAGACAGAACTTTTTCGTCAAAATAAGTGAATTAGACGCTCACCTTTTTCTTTTCCAAACCTTGCCAGCGCTCGTTCAATTGTTTCATTCGATTTTAACATCGAAGCAATTTTTTCATATATATTTTTAAGTTCGCTATCACCAAGATTTTTTGTCGTTGAGCTGTCTTCTTCCTAAAAAAAGCCTTTCGATCATTCAGATCATCACTTCAAAAAGCCTACAACAAATGCTTCCATTTTTCCTTTCTTCCGGTAGAACGCGATAAAATAAAGTGTGAGACGAGGCTCACCATCACAAACTATAGTTGTAAGCGGTAGTAGAAACTGTTGGATTGCCCAAATTAAAATTACGTTCAGATAAAATTTCTGCGATATCTACCACACAAGATGATAAAATCCTCGAAGTAAAATTAAAGAAGATATAAGCCAAAATGAAGGAAATATCACAGAGACATCCCGGTACCTATTCATGGCTGCACAATGGATCATACCAAGGGCAGCCATACCTCCACGATAACTCCGGTGGAGCTTATCAAAGCTTCTCTGATCTTATGTATATATATATATATATATATATATATATATATATATATATATATAATATATATATATAT